TCAGTTATATCGTCATCACAAATTTTCAAATGTATATCGTGATAAATATTTTTGGTCATATCGCCCTGCTCTAGTGGTGATCTAATTGTGGTCTTTCCTAATTTTAACTGGTTGGTTACTGTAATGTTTTCCCTTGTTCGCCCTCATTGTCACTCTCTGCTCCCTCAGTGATGAGATCGGTGTGATCCCGTGTCCAGAGGCTCGCTACAACCGCAGTCCCATCGTGCTGGTGGAGAACAAGCTTGGTGTGGAAAGCTGGTGCGTTAAATTCCTGCTGCCGTACGTCCACAACAAGCTGCTGCTGTACCGCCAACGCAAGCACTGGCTGGACAGAGAAGGTAGCTCGATAACAAAAGCCGAGGTCGAGTGAAAGTAGTCTGTAACGTTTGTTTTGTTTATTTAATGTGTTTATTTTAAAGTTGATAAAGGTTGGAGCCTCCAGTCATGGTCAGTTATAATGGCTGATGACCTCCTTGTTTTATCCTGCTTAGTTTTAAACGTGTTTTATGGTCCTGTTTGTTCCACAAGTGAAGCAACATCCTGTGTTTCCTTCTGTCCCAGCTTTAGTGGACATCACCTGCACGCTGCTGCTGCTGAACCCAGACTTCACCACTGCGTGGAACGTCAGGTACAGGACAAAACAACATGTTCTGATAAATGTGGTTATAGTGAGAGCGTGTTTTTCCCTGACTGTCACACAGGAAGGTTTTCTTGATGTCAGGCAACATTAGCTAACAGCAGAGGTCTCAGGTGAAACCAGACCCCACTCACGTCGTCTGTCAGGTGATCTCAGTGGGTCACAAATTGGGGTGAGGCAGTGATAATGACGCACACCTTCTTTCACGCCGAGGCACGCCATCGATAGTGTTCCAACGACCCTCAAAAGGAACAATTCCCACTAGGGATTAAATACTGTGACTCTCCACCGCTTTGTTTCAGAGCTGAAGAAGCTTCTTTGTTTAGGGAGTCCAGTCACTTTCTTTCCTTAGACGATCCTGGCAGTTTGGGATCCTCCTGACTGCAGTTTGTCCCACTGTGTCCGTACCACTAATACTAACAGTGAATAGTGTCAGGATGTAAGGATCTGTCACACATAACAAAGCTCATGCTTTTAACAGTTCGACTGTGATAAATTTGTTTGATTGGGGCGGCTGTGGTGTGTCGACCAATCAGAAGGTCAGCAGATCGGTTCCTGACTCGTCCAGTCAGCATCCCGAGGTAACGCTGGGCGAGATGCCCAACCCACCGACGCGTTTCATAAAGAAGTTAAGAATAGATGAGTGGTGTGTGTGCATCTTTGTGTGATGGGTCAGTGTGACTCGCAGTGCAAAGTGCTCTGAGTGCTCATCTGAGCACAAAGGCTCTAGAGGACCAGTCCAGTTACTATGTGACCATTATCAGTGTACTGGTTAAACAGGCCTAACCTGGTGCCTGGGTTTGAAGCTGCTGCATGTCTTCACTCTGCTCTCTCCTGTTTCCTGTCATCTCTTTATAGTTTTCCAGGATAGAAACAAACTCCACAGAGTTTCATGTGTCAGATGCTCAAATCAACACCGACCGTGTGACCGTCTGTTTGTAACAGAGACACGTTTGGAGTTTGTTCAACTCATTTAAACCAAACGTGAACAAAAATCATTTTCCTGTTTGCATCAAAGTCTGTTGCAACAGTTACCATTTTTATATCCATTATGGGATATGACGAATGGTCTTACTTAAGCATATCCTGCTTTTTAGAAGAGTCAGAATTAAAGCACGATCAGAGTCGTCCCCTCGAGATGAACTCAAAGATAAAACAAATGATGGAGACAAAATGTGGACGTTGCTCTGCAGAGCGTCAGAAACCATCTTTGATAAGAGATCACAACATGAATCTGTGGGTGATAGTGAGTCTTTATATTGATGTATTTACTGTCATCGTGCTTTCTTGTTATTGCAGGAAGGAGTTACTGCAGTGCGGAGTCCTTAACCCAGAGAAGGACCTCTACCTGGGCAAGCTGGCTTTGACCAAATTTCCCAAGAGCCCAGAGACCTGGATACATCGGTAAAGCCGCTTCTCCTGCTGTAAACACTCAGATGTTCCAAGCTGCTTTCTTTGTGTTCGAGCTTTTCAAACTCAGGCTGCTCTGATCAGCATGTATGGATTCAGACTACACTTTATTTTCTTTGATTCTTTTCTAACATATTTTGAACAGTTTTCTAACAGTAGCTCTGTTTGTGCTAAACACTGTCAGCTGAACAGGGAATATTATAGCTGAGGGCAGCTACATTCAGACCTTGTTGATGTAAATGATTGGTGATTATCCTGAGATTATTCAGGTGGAGAAAGGAGTTTTAATCCCACTGAAAAACAGCAACGATGTTTAAGGCTTATAACGAGCAGCGAGGCTCATGCGGGATGCTGTTCTTCCTGTAAAAGCAGTAACTGTGTACAGAGTGAAGCTTTGTTGTCTTCCTGCAGACGCTGGGTGCTGCAGCAGGTCCTGAATCAGATCTCTACTTTGGACCACAATAAGAATCAGCAGCAGGCTGAAGCGGTGCAGGCTGACGCTGAGAGAAACGAGCAGCTCAGCGACCGCCTGGCCAGGACGCTCCGCCAAGAGATGAAGGTGTGCTCTGACGCCGCCGGCCGCTATCCCAGCAACTACAACGCCTGGTCGCACCGCATCTGGGTGCTGCAGCACATGGCCAGGGGCAATGTCAAGGTAGCGTTTCAGTTACTCGTTTAGCTTTTCAGCAGTAATTAGATTATTATAGACAACATCTTCTTCCCTCATCACACATGTTCTCTTTTTATTTAATGTAGTTACGTTACTGATGCCTGCTGGTGTAAAAGTGGAGCTGCTGTGCAAACCACAAATAATGTGTAACTAAATAAACACTCGCTAAGAGATTTAAATGAATCAAATGATCCCAGCTGGATGTCAAATAGCACTTATGCTTGAAATCAGCTGGCACAGTCGTTACAGAGGAGCTCTGTGTATAACTACATGAGTAATGGAGGTTTCTGTCTTTAAACCAGAGTGTGGTGCACCCCACTGGTGGGGCGCAAGTTACCTGGGAGAAAAGTCACGCGAATATTTAACATAACACAAGTCTTTTTGCAGCAGTTACGTTAATAATATGCACCTCCACTGAAAAGCTGCAGCGGCGTGTCGACAGCCGCAATAAAGAAGTGGACTGAAAAGTGTGAACATGTGGTCGGGTCGAGGGCTGTGCGATATGACTAAAATGTCATATCCCGATATAAGACATCCATCGTCCGATAACGATATAAATCACAAAAATGTAACATTTTCTGTAAAGTCTGTGAATCTCGGGCAGCTCGACTTGCGTGAAGTGTTTCCAGCTGTGCGTCATGTAGCTGGAGTCGAGTGTTTTAACCGATGTATGAAATGATACATTTTTAGACATAAGTTGTAACGGCGCCGTTTTCTTTGTGAGTATTTATTACACAGCGTGCTGCGGGGAAAAGCCTGTTCTAACGTTTGAGTCTAAGCTTTATTTTTTAGCACCTGGCGTCTTTTTTACTTCTCATCCGTAAATAATCTGCTCTTTCACGTGATTCAGTTTATTTTGAAAAGTCTCAACAGGATCTTGAGCTTTATTGTGAAAGGATTATGTGGAACATAAACAAGCGGACAGGCGCTTGTCCGTCCGTAGTGTGGTTATATTAAATATAAGAGAAAGAGAGAACTTTAAGAAATTAATAACTACAGTGACATCAAAACATGAACAAATATCGCTGTAAACAGTTTATTTTGCGACACCACGAAACAAACGACAGCGTAAAATGAAACGACAAACGTTTTTATATCGTCACACGATATATATCGTTACATCGAACAGCCCTCGTCGGGTCTGTCGTGCATCGTTGAGTCGCGGTGCCGACACCCAGAATTGGGGAATGACAGACCCGCCCACATGCAGGTGTGCTTATAGAGACATATTTATGGATTAATTTTCTTATTGTCTTGTTCTTTTTGCGAGCTGTTGAACAACCATTCAAGGCCCACGTTCAGCTTTATTGATTAGCTAATAAATCAAGTGATAATCTCTCAGCTGGTTTGTTGATGTTTTCTGCTCCTTCACTTTGTCGTCGTGACTCTGGCAGGTGTTCCACGATGAGCTGTCCTCTATGCGCCTCTGGGTGTCCATGCATGTCTCTGACCACAGTGGCTTCCACTACCGCCAGTTCCTCCTTAAGGAGCTAATAGCTGAAATCTGCAAGAGGCCAGCTCGCACCTCCACCGGCTGTTCACCCCAGCGTGGGTGCAGCACAGTCCCAGAGGGCAGCCGCCCACACAGCCGCTCTCACAGTAACGGAGAGCCTTCAGGACAAGAGGCGGGCGGCGAGGAAGACGGCCACGCTGACTTCACTACAGTCCTCCAACTCTTCCACCAGGAGATGGACCTTTGCTCAGATCTGATCCAGTCCTTCCCTGGACATGAAACACTCTGGAGTCACAGGTGAGAGAGTCACAGTGCAGACACAGACGTCATATTTAAACAAGTCGGTAAAACAGATGTGTTGTCTGTTCCTGCTGCACAGTCTGTGGCAGGCTTTGCTGCCGCTGATTGCATTTGTGAGAAACAAGTAAAAAAATGATTGTCCTGATAAATCGTTTAAATATTTCTTTTGCATTGAAACATTTTCACATTCTGAGGCTGTTTATCCTGAGCCTATAAAACACTTTGTGCACAGACGTGTTCAGCGTTTGTAATAATGATGTTGATGTACCCCCCCGTGTCTCTCAGGCGGCATGTCTTTTACTTGTGGGACCAGTGGGTGAGGGAGCATCAGCATTCCCACAGCAGAGGATCCGACTGCAAGTTGAACCATGTGACGGATCCAGACCCCGGAGTGGCAGAGATCAGCTCTCAGAGCCGTGCAGGTCAGGGCCACGGCGTGAACGGACAGAAGCACGCTACTGAACCTATGGAAGTGGATGGGCTGTTCCTGCCAGACCCTCACAACAGCAAGAGACTGAAGAGAGGCGTCCTGCTGCCTCGCCCCCCCACCCTGCCTACCGAACTCAGCTTTGTAAGCAGTGTTTTGGGCGGCTGCTGCAACACCGAGCAGAGACACTTTGCCCTGGCCTACAGGAAGTGGCTGGATACAGTCATCGGGCTGCAGTCCTGAGAGAGATGCTGACCCCCTTCTTTCTCCACACTGAAGCTGCCTACAGACAGATTTAGGATCAGCTTGCCTACATAGTGCAGACTTAGATAAGCAGTACTTCAAAGCCAGTGATGAGTTTAGAAAAGCGTCATTGAGCCGCTGACTTGGAATCTGTTTCCTAACAATTAATAGGAGAGGACTGGATGTTCTTCCTCAGAAACATCTGGATCTGGATCCTCTGAGCCAGTATCCCTTCAGAATGGAAATCAGCCCTCACACCACCTGTTGGCTCACTGTTATCTTCAGGTGTTTCAATACCTCAGGTACCTCAGATTTCTAGTTGTTTGTATGTGTGTGAGGTTTCATGTGCATATCTTCTTTTCCTGCTTCTATATATATTAAACAAACAAACAAATCTTTTCTGATTGGAATCAGTCACTTACACAGCGTAACCACTTTATACACGTGTAAGGTTTTGTGTAGGCACCAGTTTGTGGCATCATTGGACTCAAGTCCAAAAATACTTTCCGGCATATTGAAGTGTCCTGGGACTGAACTGCACTCTGGCACCTCGCCTGGGCTCCGGCTTTCAGCCTGTATAAGCATGAAGTCTGGTGAAATGGTCTTTAATAGACACAAACAGAGACGTGTGTGAAGCAAACAGTGACTTGAGCAGGTATGAAGCTGCAGAACCTTCAGGTTTGCTTTGCCTGCTGCAGGTTAACGACTTGTAGAAACTCTTCTTGTATCAGATGATCACTGCATCACGTTTCTGTCTTAGCTCTACTTTATATTAGACTTCCCTCAGTCGTCGGGCGATACTGACCTGAGCGTCAGCTGTAACAGCAGGTTAACGCACAGCTCCTGACTCTGTGGATTTCCATTCTGAAGGTGGTAACACGTGTTAAACATGTTACTACTCTCGTTGATTTTCTACCCTTTAACTTCACTGGTTGTAGTCAGCAGCTCTCTTTGTAGCTGATGCAAAGTTAGAGTAACAGGAAACCAAAAAGCCAGTTTGATTTGTGTTCATAGGTCATCACAAACTCCTCCAGCCTGAGCAGCAACGAACATTTCTTGGTCCTGATGTTTGGACGTTTGTCTGTAGCAGAACATTCACGGTGCTCCTGCTGCTGCTGTTACAACCGTTTGATGTGTTACAGCTAGAAACTGTGCAACAATTAAA